ATGTGGTTTTTTAAAAAATCCATAATTTCTTTTAAAGAATTATTGGTTTTTATTGGAAAGGTAGATCAGATTTACAGAGAGAAGGAGAGACAGAGAAAAATCTCCCATCTATTGGTTCACTCTCCAGATGGCTGCAACGGTTAGAACTGAGCCAATCTGAACCCAGGAGCCAGGAGCTTCTTCAGGTCCCTTACGTGAGTGCAGAGTCCCAAGGCTTTGGGTCAGCCTCTACTGCTTTTCAGTCCACCATCAGGGAGCAGGATGGGAAGTGGATCAGCTGGGACAGGAACAGGCACTCATATGGGTTCACAGGGCTAGCAAGATGAGGATTTAGCTGTTGAGCCATTAATATGAGCCATTGTGCTGGGTCCTTTAATATGATCTGGAGCTGTTCAATGATTTATCTAAGCATCAATTTTCTCACGACTACAATGGACAAATTATACCACTCAGGATTGGAGTAAGGACAAAACAGTGCCAAATGAGAAGTGGTTGACCTGCCTTGGGCGTCCACTGAACCTTGGAATAACTGTGAACTTCAATCCCAGAATTGACATTTGGGGACATAATATACTTCTCAACAGGACTTTGGTTTCTTGTGGTTGTTCGCCCCTTGCTTTTTTCTGTTGTTTATGATAATGGACAGTGACAGTGCAGAGCTCCACTCATCTCAGTTTCCCCTTGCAGCTTGACTGACTGCTCCGAGTTCTGATGCGCAGCACAAATGTACTATCTCCTAATTAGAGTTTATTTAGCACATGGGACCAAGCGCTGCTCATGAATATTGATTCCCATTAACAGCACTGACAAGCACATTATTATGCACATTATATCTAACTCATTGGATGTTTAGATTTGGACTTCTGAATCTGAAATTTTTTGTGAAAATATATTTGTGATAGCAATTTGGGGGATCAGATAGGGCATATTGCACGAAAACTCACTCGGAGCCTGAAAAGCTTTGGATTTATATTTTGGGTGGTCACTACAGACATAACTAACTGCCTTCATCTCTAAGGACGGCATATGGCTTTTGCTCCACCTGCACTGATGGAAGTAGAGGAGCTAGGCAAAAGAGAAATCTCTGTGATCCCAGAGCTTGATTTGCACCACGAGGTATTATTAATTAGTCACAGGAAGCTTGTGTCTAAGAATATTTTTAGACTTACACATATCAATTTAGCTCTCATGATAACAGCAGCAGCAAAAGAAAAAAAAAAAAAGAAATGCGTGAGCTAAAATACAACCTTTCCACAAATGCAGCTGCATGAGAGCATCAGAATGGTGCCAGATTGTTGCTGATAGGGACTGAAAATTAAGCCTAAGGCTGGAAATTAAGATCTAGGGCCAGATGTTATTTTCATGAGCTCTTCCACTAACCAGCAGCAAGGCTGAGCAGATGAAACCAAATTACTTTTTCTCAAATATTATTTTAGTACTGGAAGATTAGCTTAATTTGCTTAAAAAGTCCCCCAATATAGGTGGGAGGGTTAATAATTGTCACTAGGGATTTAATCATGTGAGTGGCGAATGTTTATTGAGACTTTCTTAGGTGCCAGGCATTCTGCTCAGCTCTATATTTACGTTTTGTCCTGTCAATACCATGCCTTAGCTGCTGGTTTTTTTTTTTTTTTTTGGAGGTAATTGTCACCACTACTAAAAGAGAGGACTTGGAATGGAAACCTAGACACATGTGACTTTGGTGCATTAAAAGGAGCCCTTATAGGAACGCCGTATAACGAAAGGGAGACCCTTGTCTTCAGTAGCTTGTGTGAGATTTGCAGTATTGGCCAAGTCTTGCAGAAACCTGTCTGCCAAGATCAGGAAGCAGACAAGAAGTTCAGAGAAGAGGCGTTTGACATTGTCCAGGATATTTCCCTTGACAATGTGTAGTGCAGTGGAGATGATGGCCATAGACTGTGTGTGTGTGTGTGTGTGTGTGTGTGTGTGTGTGTGTGTGTGTGTGTGCGCGCAGTGGTAGGGCATGTCAGGGAGGCCGACTCATAGCCAGGGTGCCTGATAAGCTGGTCTGGGCTCTTGGTGCAGTGCAATCGAACAGGGGCTACTCATGAAGCATGAGCTCATGTTTCTGCTCCATCCAGTGTGCCCCTAGTTACTTTCTCTCTGGGTTGCTGTGCATCAAATGCCACACTAGGTGGCATGGATTTCCTAAAATGTAAGGCACACATTATGTGTTGGATTAGAAACTTTAAGGCGGTAACACCTTTGCTAGTTAGAAAGGAGAGAACATGGCAACATTTTGTGGTTATCGACTATTGTGTTGCATTGCCTTTCCTGTATCAGTATTGGTACAGTAAAGGATTGATGCAAGGGGCAATTTTATGGTCCCAGTTAACCTCAAAGAAACACACTTTGATTTTTAACAAGATTTATTTATCTGAAAGGCAGAGTATCAGAGAGGGAGAATGAGAGGACAGGGGAAGGGAGAAAATGAAAAAGATCCTCTATCTGCTGGTTCAATCCTCAAATGGTTGCAATGGTCAGTCCAGGCCAGACCAAAGTCAGAAGCTTCCTATATGTGTGACAACAATCTAAAACCACGGGCCATCATCTGGTGCCTTCCTGGGTGCAAAAACAGGGTGCTGCAGCAGAAGCAGGGCAGCCAGGACTTGAGCTGGTGATCATATGAGCTGCCGGCATACCAGGCAGCAGCTTAAACCATTTCAACCACAAAGCTGGCTCCTAACTCACTCTTTTACTTATCTGCATCTTGCATATGAGGTCAATGAAGTGGGAAGGTGTTTGTTAACTTCCCGCTATATGAGTTGAATGGTGCTTGACCCAATCAGCCCTGCTACAGAAGTCACACTCTTTCCTACTCCATTCTTGTGTTTTCCATGAAAACCAATTCTTCTTCAACATTACAGCAGCAGTACAGACATGTCACAGTGTTGGGCAAGCAATACAGAAAATGTGAAGAAGAAGAAAAAAAATGAATGCAATGACACACTGTCGTGATTTATTTAATATGATTGGGTGTAGACTTAGATATGACTGAACATTGTTAGGCAATTACATATCAATACTAAGTATTGATGATTGTGGTGTTACTTTGGTATATATCTCCTTTGCATTTCTCACATAATCTTATATGGATCTTAATAAGATTTTATTTAATTGTACCATTTGCACTTTTATTGTGTCAATGATTGTCTCCCAAATCACCTTTCATTAAACCTTTATTTTCTGATTTTACCTTTTGATCAAAGCAAATACAGACTATTTGAAGTGCAAAAAAAATATGTAGTGCTAACACTAGGGGTTTCAACTCCTGAAAAAAATAAGCTGTTTGCCCCTGAGATGTGGTCCAGTGGCTGCGTTTTCCTTTTGACCTCTGTCCACCAGCCTGAAATTGTGAGATCCCCTACTAGCTTTTGGGCTTCGCCTCTCATGATTTTCATGAAAATGTAAATACGAATGAAGCAAGTAGGCTGTTTAAAAAAAAAATAAAATCTTGGTTCCTAATTTAATTTTCTTAAAACTGAAAAAACATCACACATGGATGATTTAAACTAAGTAGTAGTTTATATGCACCATCTAATGAAGGGTGTCGAGATAAATTGCTGTGTCAAACCAACCTCTTAATCTGGTTTCATTCAGCCGGGTGCCTGGGTCCGGCCAGATGTTTCTGTGCTGGGAATCCCTCTTCTGTTGCTGACTGACACCAAAGAGCACATGTAATTAATATGCAAATAAAATTATCTGTATAATTAGTACTCTGAGACAAGATTTTAAATAGTTCTTGTCTGCACAGATCACTTTACATATTTATATTTTTGAGGAAGGTAACTATCTAATTATGTGGCTTTCCCACAACTGTGGCTAATTTGGGTCAATTTAAAAAAATCATGTTTTAATTAGGCAAAACTAATTTTTATAGGTAGTTTACCACCTCGGTTTCTGATGTAGCTAGCAGGAAATCATCCTGGTATGTGGCAAAGTGAAAAATACACATTTGTCAATGTCTGGATTTGGTTAGAATCATTTCAAAGTGGGAGCGATGTGGAGGACCAAAGGGGGGACAGGGTCTGTGTGAGCTATTTGATGAAAGAGAAGGATTTCAGCCATCTCTCTGGGTGTTGGCTTTGACAAGGGTCTAGATGGGTCTGTTTAAATGAAATGAAGAGAGCCACGTGGTAACTAGGGCACTGGCTTCTCAACTGGCAGGAGACTGTAAGCAGGGCTTCAGGATGGGGAAGGAGCAGGTGCTTTCAGGGGCAAGCGGCAAGATATCACCAGCAATGAGTCCATAATGTGTTATGAATTCCTGCAGTCTGGGAGGTGCATTTCTGAAAGATTTCTTGTTCACTGCCTTGAGCCTGGATTGTACAGATCTACATGTTGGTGCCCAAAAGATTCCAATTTCCTCTTATCTCTCTGTAGGGCCAGAAGGATTCATTTCTGCATCTTTGGCTGTTTGAGATTCTCTGTTTTGATCTAAACCTGTTTTTATTGCCTTCTCTGAGGGAGAATTTCTTTCATAGAGAAGCAGTTCTTCATTATATATTTTATATGACAATACTTCTGGTTTATAGGAGAGCACTTCTTTTTTGGTCTCCTGGTCTGGGTCAGGAGAATTCAAATACAAAGAATTGGGTGCTGGTCAGAAGTGGGCACTCATGAAGTCTGTGTTGATGATACACTGGTTGTGCTGATGGCTAAGCCTACCCCTGCCTGTTCACAGGGGCTTGATTTTTAAAGAGAGGCTTGCTGGCCTTGGAGTGGGCAGCTGTAGGTAACTGTCACTCTTGCAGATCAGAGAGAATGTTAGGTGTTGGGGCGAGCCACAAGGCTTGATCTTGCCTTTTCAGTAAGGTGTGCACTGACAGACGGGAAGTGGGTGTGAACATTATTGTACAAAGAGCTTTATTCTGGGGAAGACTCAATGACAGCAGTTCTATTTTAATACTTTGTTTTTAAATTCAAGGGTCCCCAGATTTTAAGTATCCATGACATTTGAATATTGGCATAGGACTTACTCATAATGCATGTCATTTTGATCCAGGGCGGACTGGACAGGCTGGGAGTCCTTCTCTCTAACTCGGAAATCCACTGTCATGTTAGCAGCCACGTGGTGGGAAGCGTCTGGATGCCAGAAGTCCAGCTACAGAGATGAATTCAGTGTTAGGCATCATTGTACATCTGCTTATCCAGTATATGTTGATAAGAGAATGATCATATTATACTTCATGAAAGGAATTTGGGGTTCAGTGTAATTAAGATATGGACCCTTCTTCCTATAGGCTTATGAGCTTTTTGCAAATGTTTAACAACAGTTGACTAGTAGGGACTTGGATAGAAATTATTTGTGCTGATCACTTCTTTTCAGGACTTTGTAAATTGCATCCATGGAAGCAAAAAGGCTGAATAGCTCTTTTGGAGAATCTGTTTGCTTCCAACATTTTGAGGTTGAATAGGATTATTTCACAATTGATTTAACTATAGCATCTGGATCTAATTGGGATTTATATTAAACATCTGTCTCCCTTTCTTCGTGGCCAGCCCTCAAAACCAGATGTCCCTGTAAACTCAAGAATTCCTGGAAGGTTTGTATCCAACAGAAGGGGTAGTCTCCAAGCTCTGTTATTATTTTAGAAATATGTTCTTGAGAAAATGAGTAAAACATTTTTTTGTGTTTCATTTCCCTCCCCTGTAAAATGGGCCTAATAGCTAAGGGGTGTTGTGAAGATGGTGAAATGAAGTTAAGGTCTGGGGCATCACAGACATTTAACAAGTGTTAATTTCCTTCTATCATCTTTCACTAACTTTTGGAAATTAGCTTAAATGAGCCCAGAAGGAAAACATTCAGATTAGAATGACTTTGAGAAGATTCTAATTCTTGTAGCTGTTCAAAAAATCATACTGAGGGCTCGGTGTGCTATACTAGGTGCTAAAGTCCCTGCCTTGGATGTGCCAGGATCCCATATGGGTGCTGATTCATGTCCTGGCAGCCCCGCTTCCCATCCAGCTCTCTGCTTTGTGGTTTGGGAAAGCAGTTGAGGATGGCCCAAAGCCTTGGAACCCTGCACCTGCGTGGGAGACCTGGAGGAAGTTCTTGGCTTAGGATCAGTTCAGCTCTGGCTGTTGGGCCACTTGGGAGTGAATCAGTGGATGAAAGATCTTTCTCTCTGTTCCTCCTCCTCTCTGTATATCTGACTTTCCAATAAAAATAAATACACCTAAAAAAAAGAAAAATGATATTGAGCGTGAACCAAGTAAATAAAGTAGAGATTACCAACCTGGTAGAAGTGAAGAAATTGCTGTTTCTACCACACCAACATTGTGGGCATGTCCAAGTTTGCATGGCTCTCTTAGTAGCACCCACTGGCTCACTCAATTATGGGACAGAAAGAGGTTGTTATGAACCAACCAATATGTGTGTTTACTTTAACAACTACAAGGTGAGCTGGGCATCAGAGATGCAGAATGATTTAAAGTCAAGGTGGGCCTGTGGTTTAATTGTAAAAGCAATTTCTTTGTTCTGGTGGAGCAGGAATTTAGGGCTTAGTGATTTTAATGAGCATTTATTAAGCACCAGCACAGAGCTCGGTTGCCATGATTGTAGAGGCGAGTTTGATGTGGTAGATAGAACCATGTATGCATGCTGCCGGCATGTCAGCTCATGCTAGGGGAAGAAGAGCGTTCTGGGAACACAACAACCAACCTAGACTGACTCAGTGAGAACTGATAGAATACTGTCTCAGAGGCTGCCTGGGCAGGGCCTTGGAGACCACGGAGGAGCTAGCCGGGTTAAGGAGAGAAGCATGTGCTAGGTTCCACCTGAAGCTAATTTAGTCCTTAATGCAACCATAGGGATTAAGCAGGAGTATTAGCCCTTATTAGCAAAGGAGAAACAGTGAGATGTGGTGTGGTTCCATCATTTACCCAAGGCCCACAAGAGCTGGGATTTGAGCCTAAGCACTTGACTCTGAAGAACATGCTCTGTCTCTTCTAGGCTGCTCTTCGATAAACAATCAGCTCCAGTTGGAAAAAGAACATTGTGAAGCTGTAGAGAGAGCAATCAGACTGCATGCAAACTTGGTTTTGTAAAAGTTAAGACCAGAACCACGGCCTCTTGATCATTTGCTGTACTGTTTTTGAACCTTAGGATTTTTAAAAGACTAAATTTCATAATTTAGTGAACATCTGTTAAGAGAATTTGAAATAGCATACGTAAGGTGGCTCACACAGCATGCCTTGGGTATAGGAACCACTGAATAATGATCAAATGATTGTTTTAGCTTGTGGGATTTTTAAAAGACTGGTCTAATTTTAAGAAAGCTCTTTTAAAGTGGGCCTGAATTTGGAGAAAGTCAAGCCTCAAGATTGGCTGTTACATTGGCATACCTTAGCATTCTAGCTGGGACTTGAACAGGTACTGTGTCACCAGAGGAGACTGTGGTGGGAGTAGGATGAAGTGTGTAAGGTTGGGCGAGGCACAGCAGGGAGAGAAAAGCGGTCCTGATGGTGGTGTTAGAGTGTTCCTTTAGTTCACAATTTTACCTAGAAAAATCTGCAAAGCTTTTAGGACAGAAAACAGGAGCGTAGTCTAGGAGGCAGGTGCGCTTTGTGGGTGAGGCGCTGAATGACCTAATAGCACCCACCCTTTCATTTCCCTTTTACTTGGCTATCCCTGGTCACCCCATGGGCAAAAAATAAAATCTAAAGCAAAGCAACTTTTAGAGAACAGAAAAAAAAAAGACACAACTTTCTTCTAAATACTCTTACCTCATGGGTTTTGGCTAAGTCTTTGATGATGTTTGCTTGCTTCTCATCCTGGAGCTCCACGCGGAGTATCTTGTCCCTTTAAGAAGGCAAAAGAGAAAAAGCTCTGTGAGCTGCAAAGAAACATTCCCCAGTCCTGGAACACCAGACGGTGAGATTTACCTGTCAAAGCGGACAGGGGCCATGGCCAAAGTGGTTGTGATCAAAGCCACGTGCAGAATGAACCTCATGATTCTCCTGTACCTGCCGTGAGAGCCCTCTGCCGATTTTGCTTTTATGCCTCAGCCTTTATCTTGGGCGGTAGCTGATTTCCTCTGAGGGTTCTGTGCGTGCACTGTCCCTTCCTCCTATTCTTCCCCTTCTGGGGATTCTGTCAGTTGGGGAGGGAAAGCACAGAACACTAGCACTGAATGCCCATGCTAGTCCTCCGCACCTTTTCCAGAAGGGAATGCCATTTACAAAGGAGGGGAGGCAAGTCATGGTAGCAAATACTTTGCTCAGATGAAAGGGTCTGGTGTGTGCACAGAGCTGGCACTGGGAACCAGTTCCTCGTGTTCGAAGGGCCTGCACCCACCACTGTGCTTGTAGGGACGGGTGGACTAAATCGGCCTTAAGTTTGCATTTGGACTCCAGAATGGTTTAGCCATCTGGCCACAAAATTGTGGACAGTGGTTCTTGAATGTAAAAATTCTATCTTTGCAGTCAGATTATGAATTTTTAAAATACAAAGAATGTGTGTATTAAAGATGCTATGAGTTCTACAAGGCATACATGTGTTTGCATGTAGATTTTACGGTGGTTACACTTTGCCACATTTTCTCCTACCAAGCATTCTAGGACGAGTGACAGCACATACATCCAAATTCCTTTCCCCATTCTCTTTTCTGTCAGAGGCAACTTTGATTCTGCTTATATTAATGAATTCATTTGTAACACAGAGTGACTGAGAAGGAAGGGTGGACTGTGTCAGCCAATGGACTCAACTTGGGATCAACTAGTAAAGACAAGCTGAGCCCTGAGAATGTGATTCTAGACCCATAAGAATTCTGCAATTCAGTCCAGAAAAGTACTCTTGGTATTTCTTGGCCACATCATTGGGGAAAGGAAGTCTCCAATGGTTAGTCTGTGCTGTTGGTTAAATGATGCTTTGGGACATAAGAGAGCTGGAGCTGAAAGAAGGGGCCAGGAGCTGTCCTGGGTTCTCAGAGCTGGTGGAAGTTAAGGAATGAAGGAACCCTCAACAGCTTGGGGCCAACACCAAGGCTGGGAGAGGAGTCTCAGCTGACCCTGGTCACCTGGGCAGCAAGGACTAAGACAGCCCCTTTCCTGTTTTCCTGGGGTTAGCTTGGGTAAGTGGAACTCTCAGCTGGTTAGCTGTTTCAGTAGGCAGGAATGACAGCAAGCTGTTTCAGGTGTAGGAAATTTCACACACATGAAATTTCACAAAAACATATTTGTATCTTTGTTTCCTAGTTTCTTATTTAAAAAAAAAACCAAAACCTCACATTTATCCAATCTCTACATAAAGCACTTAACTAAGGGACTTTGGCACGTTCTTAGGGTCACCTACGTGAGTTCTATCTTTGGAGCACAGGATCTCTGAGTTAGGGGTTGATGTTATCTTCCAGAGCAGGACAAGAGAGCATCGCATGGCACTGAGACTTCACAGTGCACCTTGGTCAGGACACTTGGGTCACGACGGGTGAGTTAGTCCTCTAGCTTGTAACATGGACATTACTTAAATAGAGTGGTAGTCATTGGAGGAAATAAATTATATAAATTAAATTTATTTTCTTAAATTATCAGCAAAATCATTGAAACAGTGATAGGAATTTTTCTTTTTTATATGCAATGATCTCCATTGAAACGAAGCAATATTAGATGATTTTGCAGTTTGCTTGATAAATTGAAGCACTTGCACTGCTACCATCTAGTGGTCAGTTAGTGAATTGATCATTCTTGGAAATGTGATGGATGGTTGTGGCTTCAAGGCATATGTCATCATATTTAAAATATACATATGAGGAAGGATCTGGGCTTCTTCCATCCCATGTGGGAGATCGGAAAGGGAGTCGATGACCTCAGAGTTCTCGGCTTCCGAAGGCACTCCAATTCCCCGTGGCCTCCTTGGCAGTTGGAATATAGCCCTTGGTGCCTGTACGGATAGTCCTAGGTGAAGATCTGGGAGTCTCCAGGGTTGGGATACAAGCCGCCTCCTGTCCTCCTGCTCCACTCTGGGGTGCCCCCGCTGCTCTTTGTGTAAGACCTCCTGTTAAGAGGTTGTCAGGATGGAAGAAGACCATATCCTCCCTCACAGGATGTAATGTCATTGGAACAACAGCCGGGAACCCTGAGCAGTCCTCAGAAACAGAACAGTAAACTTCCTTCAGGACTCAGGAGGGGAGTTGCTCTGGTCCTTACTTAGTTCCAACTTTGGATCTCCACCCCTCTCTTGCAATGACCATCAAGGTCGCTCCAGGTTCCCCCAACCAAAAAAATTAGATTAGATAGACAGAGACCAATAAGGAAAGCTCAGAACTAGACAGGAAACAGTCAGCTTGGACTCACATATACCTTACTAGGTAGGACACAAAGATTAGTTATTCCTCACCAAGGTATTGAAGATTTCTCTGCACACCACTCCTAAAACTGTTCTGCGTCTCAATTGTTAACATATGCCTTGTTAGAGTTATAAGCCGGTTTGGAGTATCCTAAAATTCATCAAGTTCAGTAAAAATTATGCTTCAATATTATTAACTGCTAAATATAAAAATGAAAATAGACACGAGGCAGCTGAATAGTACCCTATAATCATTCTAAGGTGTTTAGCAGCCGGTTGTATATAAACAAAAATTGAAAAGTCAATGAAATAGTCACAGGATGTGGTTAAGAGCTTGCATTTTCTAACATATTGATCACTCAATACCATGTCAGTTAATTCCATGATGTTGTAAATTGTTGTTGATGTTATATAGTGGCTTTTCATTGGAGGGGATGATATTCTGCCAGCTCTACTCTCAGGCCAGGGACAGTCTCCCCAAGAAACTGTTGAATTGATCTGGACAATAAGATGCTGGACTCTATGCATGGTACATGCTTGCAATGAAGGAATCATGACTGGATTTGAACTGTAGTACTGCAACAATGTAGAGGAATCCACCATGAGGGGAGGGCAAGAGGAGGGGTTAGGGGAATCCCAGAGCCTATGAAACTATGTCATAAAATGAAATTAAAAAAAGAAGTAAAAAATATATGTATATGTATTTTATATTCCTTTGTGAGACATAGAAAGCTCAGTCTTCTGTCTGTGATTCATTCCCAGATGCCTACAACATTCAGGACTGGATCAGAAAAATCACCAGGAGCTGGGAAATCCAATTGGGATCTCCCACGTGGATGGACAGGGACCCAAGTCTTTGAGCTACTGTAAGCTGTCCCTAAAGTGTGTGTCATCAGTAAGCTAGATTAGAAGCAGAGGTGGGACTGTTATAGGTATCTTAACACATTATTTTCTCTATGGAACCCTATTTTTACTAGAAGCCACATAGAAAATGATATACTAAGAATTTGTGATTTTAAGCCAAGAGATGCCCCTATTTTATAACCCAAATAATACTATTTTACCTGAAATCTTGAAATCAGAACAATACTTTCCATCATTAAGTTGTACAGTTCTAAATCTAGAAAACATCAAGCTATGTGTGCTGTACAAGAATGACTTTTTAATCTTTCCTTAGTCCCAATTGCCTAGGCATTGTCACTGGTTCCTTCCTTTCCCACTTGCAATCTGCTTTCTAAACCATGAATTGGTTGGCATTTAAATAAAACAAAACAAATTAACAAACAAACAAAACTGGTGCCAGTGTTGGTTGTAGTTGTTGCCTGTGATGCCAGCTCCATTTCTGATCCAGCAACCTGCTAATGGCCTGAAAAAAGCAGCAGAAGATGGCCCAAATCCTTTGGCTCCCACACCCAGAGCAAGCTCTTGGCTGCTGTCTCCTGGCTGCTGACTGCCATCTGTCCCAACCCCGGGTGTTGTAGCCATTAGGGGAGTGAAACAGCAGATGGAAGATTCTCTCTTTTCTTTTTTTTTTTTCTTGAAGATTCTTTGTCTCTTCCTTTCTTTGTATAACTGTTATTCAGTAGCATGTTATTTAACTTCATGGCGTTGTAAATTTCTATTTTTCTTCCTGTTGTTGATTTTCTATCATGGCTGTTCATTTAAGGGGATGTACCGTAACTGTGTAATGGAGACTATCATATCCAGATGATTGAGGATACAATACGCATGTATCTCTACTTCAAGACAAAGATGGACTCCCAGTAAAACTGTTTACTATATCTTGACAATAGGATGCTGGATCCTGTCATTGTCCATGCCTTCAACGATGGACTTATGACTGTTTATGAAGAAGTATACTATTGTAATATAGGGCAGATCAGTGATGGGAGAGGGACTTGAGGAGGGGGCAAAGGAAGACCCAGAGCCTTTGGAACCATATCATTCTTCATTTCTCCAAGCTCTGTCCTCACTGTGTTTCTTCTTACATGGGACAAACATATCCTATGTTTGAACAGACTTTTGCCTTTGTCCAGCTAATTGTGCTCATTTTTTTGTAGACTTTTTATATGTTCTTTCTGTGTAGGACACTCAGGACTTATTTGTTTAATCTAAATTAAATAGCTAATTATTAACAGAATTAAATATCATTTTAATGTCTGTTTTCCTGACAACCTATACATCCAATGAAGGCATGCATGCTATCTCTGTTTTTCTTTGTTATGTCTTCAGATGCATAGCAAAGTCCTTGGCATATGGTCTACAGCTCATAAAACAATGTGAATGAGCTACTGTGAAAACTAAATCAAGATGATGTCTTTTCATCTATGCTAGATTTCACAACCTTAAATTTTCCATTATGTTTCTTGTTACTTGTATGTATCCCTTTATAAAGTCTCTGCACTTGGCCAGTGCTGCCCGAGGCTCCAAGGGGTTTGACTCCTGTGTGAATGACCACATGATTACCTGTGCACAGCTTGCTCCGTCATTTGTTCTCACCACTTCCTCCCCATCACCAAATAAGTAGACAACCTCTGGGGTATCCCATTAGAATGATTTGATTTTATTATGATCAGTATTAAAAGATCCACATAGCTAACAGACCCAGAAAGCTTAAACAAAAGATTGGAATCTGCAAAGCGCCTGAGCAAAAAATTCAGGATAGGAAAGAGATGCACAGTAAGCATTTTGAAGCAAGTTTTGTGGCATCTTCCACTAGTACAGATTGTCCAGGACGTAGCTGGCGATGTGATTGACTGCCACCAATGTTTCCTCACAGGTGGCTTGGATCTGGGATTCAGGAAGTGCAAAGCCATATCTGCCTGTGTCCCGGAGCTCAAAGGTGAAGGAATATTTGATACCTTGGTCATAGGCCCAGTCGTCAGAACCTCCTGCAGCAGGATCTGAAATGGGCAATGAGCAGAGACATACAAAAAAAGTTTAAAATGTTGAAATCTAGAAAAATTGTGTTTCCTTTTATGATTACAAATGTTTGACTATGCCAAATGGTCTGAGCAGGCCAATTTTCTAGTACACTGGATCATTAAAGAATTTGGAGGGCTATATAAGAAATTAACTTAATCTTACCTGTAGACCTACTTTGTAGAAATGATGTATTTAACACTTGAGAAAGAATGTAATTTGTATTATAAAATTAGTAGAGTGCTTACCTGTTATGCAAAATGACAGTACATAGCATGTAATTTTCTTAATAAGATTTGTTGATTTTTATCCAAAAGGCAGATTTACAGAAAGAGACAAAGAGAAAGATCTTCTGTCTGCTGGGTCGCTCCTCAAATGATTCCAATGGCCAGAGCTGAGCTGATCCAAAGCCAGGAGCCAAGAGCCTCTTCTGACTTTGGGCCTTCCTTTATTGCTTTCCCAGCAGAAGCAGGGAGCTGGATGAGAAGTGGAGCAGCCGGGACTAGAACCAGCAACCATATGGGATCCTGGCACTTGTAGGCAGAAGATTGGACAATTGAGTCATTGTGATGGTCTCTTACTATATAACTTGATAAAAATTGATGAAGATACTTCAAATTTCAGGGGAAAAAAGATTTAAAAGTGTTTATTTTACTGCAAAAAAAATTTTAAAAGCATGCATTTTTTTTGTAATATGCATGTAAGACATTTTCCATGAACTTTTGGAAGTACACTCATGCTGTAATTTGGATATTAGTTTGAAGGTGGAATGTTCCCCCAAAGGCTTCCTGTTAAAGGCTTAGTCTCCAGGGTCTCGTGTTAGTGCTAAGAAGGTGGAGACTTAATTTAATTATGATGTTTAGAGGTGTGGCCTTTGAGAGAGAGAAGATTGGATAAAGTTGCTGTGGTGGCAGGATTGAATCATGATGGCCTTGTAAGGAGAGATGCAGACAAACACCCCTTTTGCCACGTCACGCTCTGCCCCACCTTGTCGCTCTGTTAGCCAAAGCACTATTCCAAGATGCAAAATAACCGGGCTACTTCATCATTACTGTTGACCTTTGCAGTCACGCACTACCGTAAGCCTTGTGGTATTTCCTTGTGAAAAGTTCATGGAAGTCTACCGTCCAGGAAAACAAGGAAAGCTGCATGGAATCATGGGAGAAGGAGAAATTGGAGCAGCTGGCATGCAGTCCTAAGACATCAATTTGTATCTTCAGTGTCGATACTGGCATACATGGCAATTGTTCAGTTAAAAAAAAAGCCTGTTGTTACTAACCTTTAGGCTGTGTACTGTTATGAATTTCTCTTTTATGTATTCAAGCAATGATTGTACAGCCCCCATGGACAGCAGGCCGTGGGCTCAACTCTGGACAGGCCAGGTGCAAGGGGAGACACTGCTGCTGCCCTGCTCGCCTGGTCGGCATGATGAAATAGACACCTTGTTGAACTAGTTTGAATAAAGTGTACAGGACAGGACAATATATAACTAGAAAGGTTATTTCTACTAGAACATCTTTAGGAAGACACTATAGCCCTGTGCTTTAGAGTAGTTTAAAACATGATGAGAGATGCAAGTGTTGTTGTGAATTTTGAGGTCAGGTAAAGCCATTGCCTGTGACAGCAGCAGCCCATTTGGGCACCATTTGGAATTCCAGCTGCTCAGCTTCCAATCCAGCTCCCTGCTCATGTGCAGTAGTAGTTCTTAGGCCCTTGTTACCCATGTGAGAGACCCTGATGAAGCTGCTGGTTCTTGGCTTTGTTCTGTCCCAGCCCCAGCCATTGTACCTATACAGGGAAAGAACCAGTGGAGGGAAGACTTTTCTCTCTTTTTGCATCTTTCAAATAACTTCAAATAAATCACATCCTTTAAATGACAAGAATGCAGAAAATTGCATTCTACACAGAACTATAAAAAAAGAAACAAAACCAAAACAATCCAGTCACTTAGACTTGGAGTCTTCACAGCTGTGCTAGAGGGTCCTGGATGATAAAACCACAGAACTAGGACAGAAAGAAATCTTTTGAAGGCTGGGAAGTGGATCTGCCATATCCACGGCTCCAGGGAGTAACTTCCTTTCTGCCATTTGCTTGCACACACTGGTGGGCAGGTCAGAGAGACTGATGCCTGCCCATGGGAAGGTGGCCGTGTCTGACCCCATCAGCCTGGAAGACACTCCCTTTCTGTTTCCCAGTCACCGTCCTTCCACATCAGTTGTCAGTCACACTGGGGTGGGGGCAGTGGCTGGGTTTGTCCTTGAACTTGTTTGCTCCATATGCGTAGAACCTCAGCCACTGCGTCACCATGGACTGTTTTTTTCCCCTGGGATCTTTGAATACTATTCTGGCCTCCAGCCTGCTTTTCCCTCTCAGCATTTAGTGGGAGCCTTCCATGTGCTAGATGCTCACTATGCAGAGGTTAAATGTTTCCGAGGTTGAAAGAAAGTAAATATCCTTCCCTCCAAGCCACACCCCCTTTCTGAGTGCTTATTTCAGAAAAGAAAGGAAAGAAGAAAGAAAGAAAGGAAGGGAGGAAGGAAGGGAAGAAGGGAGGGAGATGAAGAAGAAGGGAAGGAGGAAGGAAGGGAGGAAGGCAGGCGGGCAAAAGTGCCTGGAGGCAAAAGCCATATGCTTTAAATATACAGAAAAGCCAAGTTCTGGGAAGTGTTTGTTGGCTTTTTAGTTGTACAGTTTCTGGATGCCATTCTAAAGCCAGGACTCACAGATTGTTGTAGCTCCTGGGCCGTATGTGTACTTGGTGCCGTACAGGGCCGTGAGCTTTTGTACAGCCGCTTTAGCCAGAGCATTCTGCAAAAGAACCAGCAATGAGTAAGTAAATGGCAGACACTGCCAAACACACACCCACCCTTCTATTAATTTCAGACCTTGAAGCTGTTTATGTCACAGTTTGGGCTAGTTGTCTACACTTCAGCATTCAGTTTTTATAGCTAACGGAGTCATGAGATCCAAAGAAGTCTGGCATTCCTAATGTGTATTCCTTAACACTCACCCCGAGCTTCTGTCGTTCTTGTCTTTGGAACTTGTTAAGAGGCCTCATGGCTGGGTGGAAAGTTCAGATTGAGTCTACATCTTTGCAGGCAAACAGACCAAAAGCAAGCACGCGCACACACACACACACCCAATCCAAACAAAACATAGCAAAAGCCATTTGGCACTGTGGTAGGTTGTAAAGCCAAGATGAACTCATGATAGGCTTTTGTGAATTAGCACAGCAGTGTCAGAGACTCCACAGATGAATAATCGGGGACTCAATGCCAACATGGAAGTGCACTGCAATCGGCAGTTCCAAGGCTGAGTGAGAGTTCCAGCTTGAAAGACTTTTTAAGCCGAAAAGTTAGAGAACATTCATCCTGTTTCAAAATGCAGACCCTTGTGCATTCCAGAATGGGGGGGGGGGGCGGGAAGTAGCAAGTGCTACCTTCCAAGTATTCTCTTAGAAGCAGCATCCATTTCTTAGAATCGTTGCCCACTAACCCCCTGCACCAAACTGCCAGAGGCATCCCTGCACCCAGAAACCCTGCCCTGTAAACCTCACTGACATACTGCCTGTTTAAATCAGCTCTCGTAAAGCAAGGCCCGACTCGGTCGTCTCAGGAATACAGATTTGAAAAGTGAGTTGTTTACTATTGGAGAATCAGCCATAACTCATTCTGGTTATGAAACTGGTCTTATTTCATACTTGGGCACCATAGTTCCATCTTGTGCATTTGCCTGGAAAACGGTGATGTTGAAAACAGGATCATCCAAGTTTACAAAGTAGCAACTTCCCTTCCTTGTTATTCTGCTATTAAAACCAGCCTCGCAGAATTTTAGGTCAAATTGATCAGGATGAGATTGTAAGACTCGAGTGCCCATGCTTCAACAGTCAAGTGGCCAATTAGAAACATTGAAAACAGAAAACATCTCACTGATGATGTTCTGTTCGGCACCAATGAAATGATGCAGCTAGTTTTCTGGAACAAACGCTGCCTTCTCAGCTTTGGGCCAGTCATTTGAAAAGTAAGGATTCCATTTCTCCATTTTCCAACTGGGAAGCGGAAGCATGCTTCCTCCTTCCGTGTGCAGTCTTTCCTGTTGTGGTCTAAATGCATTGCCCCCATTGCTTCATCTTACCCTAAGAAACTAGACCTCAACTGCCTCTTGACTCTTGTTTTCAGCTATGACCAGGACAACTTACCAACATTGTGTTAACACTGAGAATAGATTTAAAACCATCCTTCTGAGATGTGAATCATGCTCTGATTTCTACTGTTGTACAGCTTCTGAAAGCTGCTATTCAGCTGTGGGAAGCTGATCATTTTTCTGGGAGGCAGGACCTCTGTCCCTCTCATCTTTTATTCCTTCCCTTGCTGTGCTCTTCAGCCTTCACTTCCGATCTGTTATTTTCTTTCAGTTTTGAATCATTACGTTTAGTTACAAGAAATCTAATGCCTCAGGTCTTGTTCCAAAGGTGAAAGTCTTAAATATGCAAATTTACAAAAGTGAAAGGTTATAAAGGAAAGAGATACTTTACAGACATGACCATTGCCTGTGAGCCTGGCGCCCGCTTGTCCTGCTGCTCCCCTGGCATATTTACTGGAGTGATAAAATGAGTTTCCAGGCAAAACCAAAGGGAGATTGGTAATCTGGTATCTATTCTGAGTCATCTATTCACCAGTAACTCCTGACTGCTCTTAGGCCCCCCACAAAAACCTCTGTTTTCATTTCCTCAAATCAAGCATGTGAAGTGACACCCAAGTGCTTTCCAAGCCTTCCTAGGATGTAGCTTTGAAAAAGTTGCTGTCTTTGAGGCAGTATGGAAGGTTGATGCTAGCCTGGGAGGGCTGCGGCTTGGTTCCTGTGGTTGGTGTACGCAACAGGACCATTTAGTTTGTACTTCAGCGGTTGCCTCTTCTGGTACTCATTTGCCCCCTTATCTTGATATCTCCCTCATCTTCTGAGGGTCACCTCATCATCGCACCTTCAGCAGCTCTAAGCCTTTGATTCAAGTCCAACCTCCTCTTTTGGCCAAGAGTCACAATGCACTCACCGTTCCAGCCTTCTCTTCAGGTGTGCGCTTCCTGCTCTCTCTGATGTACTGCACTGCTTCCCTGTTGGCCCTGCCTACTTCTCTTACCTCTGCGACTCTCCTCACATGAAGGGTCGTGATAGTTCTATCAGATTTAGTTTCATTGTAACTGTGTACGGGACACTGCCTAGGAAGCATGGAGCCCCATTCCTTTGTAGTAGCTCACAAGTCTTCAGTGGTTTTTGTATCTATTTCCTCTGCTGCCCCACCCCACCCTGTGAACTCCTCGTGAGAAGGAATCTTTCCCTATTCATTTTGCATCCTCAGCACGCTGGACAACACCCACCTAGCACAAGGCTGCTGGCCTGAGTCCTATGCTAGGCCTAGAGGCATTGTAAACAGGAGAGACTTGGATGGGATGCTGAGTGCCAAGATCTGCAATGGTTGGCCCGTGACTCACCTGAGTGTGGATTGGGACTCCTCGTGGGGAAGCAGTGGTACCATGCACTGATGGGTGATGGGCTGTGCGTGGACACACTGACACCTTCTGTGTACATTACTTAGCTACCTTCATTAACAAAGAGATCTATGGATTCTTTGTCTCAGCCCTTTCAAGACCAAGAGATCAAATAAAGAAATATAATAAAAGAAGAAAAGAAAGGAGTAGACATTAAGCAACTAAAGTATCATTTTAAGAATTCCAATCATCTTAACAAAAATCCCTGGAAACGGCGTGGGCCTTTTCTTTTGAGGAGTTCAAACAACTTCACAAATGTTACTCATTTATCTTCCCAACATTATCTGTCCACATTTCATCACCATAGAATCTTCTAGCAGAATGGAATGCCATATGGGGCAGCATGCACAGTGGGTACATTCCAATCAAGCTGGAAGACTGACCCCTGCCAGGAACGATAGAGAAAAAGGTGTTCTTGCATTTGCTAAGATGCTCTAGTGGTAACTCCTTTTCCCCTGTGCATTTCTGTATAAAGGGACTAAGGCAAATGACAGGAGACCCAAGAACAACACAGCGGAGGGCATGGTTCTTGTCTTGCATCTTCCATCAATGACACTTTCTGTACTAGCTGTCATTTGAGGGCCATTTTATATCCTTGCTCAGTGTGTTCAAAAAACCTCCCCTAGCATTTACATAAAACCTTAGACTTTACAAAGGACTGTTGATAAGAGCTAGATATTTTTATCCCCATTTTACAGATAAAAGAATTGAAACTCAGGATAAAAGAACTTGCTCAAGGGCACACACAGCCACGTAAGTGGCTGACTTGGGCTAAGTTCTTCTGTCTTCAAATCCTGTGCTCTTTCTCGCTTCTCCTTGTGGCCTTGGAACACTTCAAAAGAAGTGTTGCTGGAGCTGGCTTTAGCAATTGTAAAGAACAGAAGGAAGCTAAATATAGAGAAGCCTCGGAGAAAACTTTGCTTTCAGTCAAGGCCAAACATGACCAGCCTTTATGAATCCTTAGATATGAGATTCCTGACACATCTTATGCATGTTGTCTTTTGTCATCTGTTTCCTTAAAAAGAGGCCTTGGTCCTACAGCAAAAATCAGAGCCTAAAATGTCACTTTTTTTAGCTGAAAGCTGGAGACAGAGACTAAACTAACGCCATGTTTCTCCAAGCTCTGGCCTCCAGGGGCCTGGTGAGATGAAAAAGGAAGGGGTGTTCTTTCTCCTTGACCTGTACTCCCAGGGAACATAGGATAAAATGGCCCCTGTCCCTTGAATGTGCACAGGCTCCCCATTCTACCTGTATGCACACAGCCGGCATGGAGGGGGCTGCTTCTGCCAGTCTTCCAATGACCTCCGATTCAAGTACAAGATAACATAGACTTGTACTAAGACATAGGAAAGAATTTAAAGGAAGTATTTAGTTTCTCATTGGAAGTGTGTGAGTTTAACCATCCCTGTGGGGGGAAACGCGTGCTAATGGAAGCCTCAGAATGATCTTTAACTGCAGGCTCCTTCCTTCTGTTCTGTGATAATGGGGAACTTACACCAAGGGACCGATGAGAAAGCAAACTTTTATAACTGGTGCAAAAGGAGCCCCACTTAGGGACTATACACCAGCTCGGAGGAGAAAGCATTTGGGACTGGGAACAACCTAAGTGTGTCTGGTGAAAATGAGGTTCTGGCATGGGAGTGCAAGACAGGGGTTAGAGAAGCACTTGGTTTAGGAGAGCCCATCAGCAGGGTGGGGATGCCAGAATGTTCTCACTTGAGATGAACCACATTTTTTTTTTCCTTTGGCTGATCTGCGTACATGTTTTTAAGCTCTTTAAAAATTCAAGGCAAATGAGAAGCATGAGTCAGCAGCAGCAGCTGCACTGGCCAGAGGAGCTCTGCTTTGTTTTCTTTGGGGTGAGAGTGGTGCTTCTCTCAAATAAACATTACAAATGAGCACTGCGTACAGGGTTGTGCTGGGGCTCTGCACTGTATTAGTGAGGAGGGTGTGCAATGCTATGAAATTCAAGGCTCTGGCCTGGAATGTAACTTTGTTCTTATCTTTATTTTAAGCACTGTTTCTCAACCTCTGTGTGGACATTTTGGGCCAGAAAATTCTTTGTGGTGGGTGGTGAAGGAGGGAGTTTGGAAGAGGGTCCTGTGTTTTGCGGGGTGTTCATCTGCATCTCCTGACCTTTACCCACAAGATGCCAGGAGAACTCCCACACAGGACAATCAAAACCATCTCCCAAACATTGCCAAGTGTTCTCTCAGGACAGGGATGGGAGGAAACAGGGAGAAAGGGGAGTTAAGTTCGCTG